GACTGTATGAAGATACCCTATGAGTGCTTTGGGTTAAATTCATCCTTAAATTGGAGAAATTGAATTATAATGAAATAATTCACCTTTCAAAACTACAGTTAATAAAGATTGAGAATTTCCATTTCAGTTATTGGTTTTATAAACTCTATAAAAGGACATAAAGGGAGCTCGACCTTGTTTTCATTAGTTGTGTAGAGAGTTGCGTTAAAGGGCTCAGTAGACCAAGCCTATTGTATGGGAGTGCTGACAAAGATATTGATTTGCATAATATGGTTGCCCTTGGCAATTGTGCTAAAATTATGGACTCCAAATTTCAAGTTTGCAAAAGTTGTAAAAATTTAAATTTTCTCGCAAACTACTTCTCTCACATGCTAGAGGGGATTGGTGTGCGATTCCTGAATTGTGGGAATTTCAAATGCAAATCGATGGGGAGAACAATTCCATAGGAGTCGCGATTTTTTTTTCGTCAGATCACGATTCCAGACACCATTGAATGGTGTGGGGTCATGTGAAATTCTTAAAAGGTAGGAAACTCTATTCCAACATGATGGGGTACTGATGCCTACAAATAGGAATCACGGTTTCTGTTTTACTGGATTGCAATTCCGATTACTGAGAATCACGCCGACTATTATAAGATTGCAAATCATCTAGCACATACAATTTCGCGATTCCGATTCCTGAAGCGAATTGGAATCACATGCATTTTCAACAACTATACTCTGATGGATCGATTTTTAGGACGACTACTGATTTGAAATAAGATGTGGACCAATATCTCTTTTTAGACCCTACTTGAACATCTTATCAAACACTTACATCCATTCACATAAAAGTAAGGGCTCATCGAAACTATGAATCAATGCCTAATCTATTATCCTTCATTTCATGTTTTATCGTAATTATAAATCATACCAAAAATAGGTAAATACGATGTATGGAAGGAACTCATCGAGATGCTCCAAACTAGGGCTTGTAGAGACTGGCAAAAACACACACCTTGCTAATACCCTGCTGGAATTTCTCGAACATAGAGAGATTAGTAACAATATAGAGATAGAAAGTGATTGAGAGATTATGAGAACATGATGGCTTCACAATAGTGATTGGGGGTATCCCTTTCAAGGCAATAGATATACCCTTAGGTTCAAGGCACCTCTAAATGGTTAGTGAGAGAAAGATAGGGAACATGGATATTGTAAGATAGTGAGAGGTCTATTACATCAAACTCCCCAAACCCTACCTCCAAGTATATAGCCCCTTTGCTTCAATGGGTGGAAAGAAATATGTGGGGAAATTTTTTAGTGTATAGAAACCAAATTAGATGGGTTTGCACTTGAACTATGTCACAAATACATGACAATACAACTCAAAACCTTGCACAATTCAATACAATTGAGCTTACAACCTTGAATTACAACAACATAACTGTGATTACAGTGAACAGAACACTCCTTATACACTCAAAATAAGAGGAGACATCTCAATTAGGGTCCCTTGTCCATCACTAAGCAAACCTACACATGGAGATCAACGAACATGACAAGTATGTAGTGCATTACGAAATTCTGCATTATACAAATTTACAATGCAAAATTATATATCAAATGACTTTACAAAACTCAAGGAAACATGATCTCCAGCATTACAACACACATATGCTCACGTGAATAATGTTATATGTCCATGGGAAGCCAATTGGAGCTCTCGGTTTCCTGGTCCATGGCCTTAGGTCTTAGCTATGTACTATAGAGTGACATGTGATGACATATCTCAAAACTCGGCCAAATTCATCATATCATAAGTAGGAAGCCAAGCATCTATTGATACACATTTGAAACATGGAAGGATTTGCAAAAATCAAATGATAGAAAATACAAGTGGAGCTCGTAGAAGAAATCGTGACACAAAATCACAAAACCGGTTTCAAGAGTTCACAGAACAAGCCACAACAATTCAACATAATCTCCTCTCATGAAAATCAACAATTTGATCCACCAAATATGAGATTTAATTGACTGATCTAAATGTGAAATTCTCAGAGAAATATCTATCAATTAATCTCCTAATCTCTTAGGACAGCTTATGGAAACTAAATAAAATCTTATAGAAAAGCTCATGAAAACTCAATCAAATTACGCATGGATGATTCCTTCAACTTTATGGATCAAAGTAGATCAAGAATTCAAGGATCAAGATTCAAGAATCAAATTGATGAAGGAACCCTGCTGCAATTAGAATTTCACAGGGAGATGAAAAGACTAAAATCAATGCAAAGGAAAATATCTTACTCAATTGATGAAGGTCTTGAAAACTAGATCATCCATGGCTTTGATTGAACTTGAATTAATCATCAATGGAGCATTCAATGGAGCTTCTCTCAATTGAAATGAATACTCACTTTTGATCTAATGGAAGAGAGCAAAAGAGAGAGGAGATAGCCTAGGGCGTACGACTTAAGAGGATTCGAGAGAGAGTGAGAGTGGTGTGCCACTTAGAGAGAGACTGAACTCAAGTGTGGGAAATGAATGACTAAAGGGGGTATTTATAGTCTTCTAGCCACCAAGTGTATAGATGCTTCTAGATAGTTGAATTTAGGCCCTCCATGTCATCATCCTATGGCTACAAAGAGAGACTTGATCCTAGCCTATGGTCCACTATCATGCCATCAAGATGTGTGGTATGAATTTAAACACCATTATCCTTATTTTTTAATGACCATAATTCACTCCAATATTCCGTGTATGAAAATACCCTTGCTTCTTTCATATAATTGAACTTAAAATCAAGTTAGAGGGTATACCCTTAGAGGTAATTTGACAAAATTCAAGCAAAAATCAAATTTGAAATTGCCCTCCTTTTTATAAGAGCATGTGGGGCTAATAAAATTATGCCACTTCAGCTAGTTGGTTAAGTGCACAACTACCATATACCTTTAGGGTTTAAGTTGGAGTATAAAATCTTATGCCCCTTCAAGAAGGCTCACACATGTGCACAAACCACATGCTTTTCACATTTATCATGTGCTCAAATTAATTTTCCAATTTCTCAAAGTATCACAAAATAGCACATTTGAATGGCCCTTAAATCAACAAACACACAAAGGACAAGGGGGTCCCCATGGGGGATTGATGTCACCCCCACGTCACCCTCCACATGTGGGGTTGACGTGGGATCCTTGTGACACCACGTGGACACCTTGGTAATTTGGGTGTCCCTTGTCGGTTCTGGGGGGGACTCTCCTTGTTTGTCATTTCGCAAAAACAGTTATGGAAAACTCATTTTCTTGTTCAGAAGAATCTGGGAAAATTCCTAAAAATCCACAGAACTTATTTTAATCATTTTTCATTAAAACAAATCATTTTAACACTGTTTCAAAACATTTCCAAGGGATCTTATGTAGTTGAATTAAGAATCGGAGCACTCCATTCGGCTAGACCCGGAATTCAAAGCTATCTTTTCGGTATGACCCAACAAACTCATGACCTACAATATATATTCAAGGGCTCAAAATGTAGTATATTAAAGTCAAATCAACGAGTGATCCTGAATCCCTAAGGACTAGAGAATTGCAGGTGCACCTCCTAAAGGACATGCACGCACATGGTGCGGGGGTTCCTCTCTTGGCACATTTGTATACTTTTTACCAGTGGATCCTTGGAAGTGTGGCTTCCCATGCATTGTGATTGTTTTATACACATGCTACGAGAAGGTTCTCAGAGTCAAGGATTTAAGATAATGCCCTCTATTGGCCCTAAGCTTTCCATATCATCGAGCTTATATCATCAATCATATAAATCGCTTTGCCTTGCCCATCATACTGTCATGAGGCTCAAACATAACAACCAACTTTGACATAGATGTAACCCTCAACTCTCTCGGGACCTTCCATGTATACAAATCCTCTTCATGACTCACTTGGGATCCTTTGTCTCACAGAAGGTTCTTTCCATTTTGAAACGAGGGTTTCACATCTTGGTAAAAAAGATACTTTCTCTAATAGCTCGACATTATTTACTATTGTTTTTTCATTTCCCTTTTGTGGACTTGGATTGGGTTTGGGCTATGCGCCCCAAGCGGGTGACTCTTAGTCCTAGTGCACTAAAACCCTAGAGTCGTATCTCTCTATTACTCCAACTAAAGTTGAGAGCTATTCAAATGTCGGAATTTTAAGGTCACAAAAGGATATAATTCCAACAATTTTATAAAATGTGGACCAAATGGTGTAAAAATGGGGATGGTTTGATCATTTGAAAAATGGTAATAAAGGACAATTTTATTATTCCGAAGCAGTCCACAAAATATGGAGGAAACCCTACACTTAACAAATTGTTGATTTTTATGCAGTATTTATATATTTCAATTCTTTCATCAAAGTCGCATCTTCTTGATTTGCCTCATTTTCCTCCCAGAAATGATTGCTCTAAGTGCTTCTGGCTTTTGAAATGCCTAATTACTAATAAGAATACCAATTATGTAGGGTATTGAAATCCAAACACCTTATGAATCTGTAAGTGACCTCATATTGACATAAACATATAATGAACATGAAAACATGCCAAACAATTTAAGTCATTCTGAATTATGTATTTTGAATGATGAGAGTACTCATTCCTTTACATGCTTGGAATGCGTACATTGCTTTGAAAAGTAGTTGACATTGCAGTTTTTCATTTTTTTCGCTGGTCTTTAAGATCTATTTTCTTCCATGGACAATCTTCTTGTGATGTGGACAATCTTCTTGTGATGCCCTGTCTACTAAGGAAAAGAAAACAAAAGGAAAGAGAGAAACAAACCTCATTCCCACTGTTTTTTCACTAATTACTTTCTTGTCCTGGCATCGCTATATCTGTTTATGCATTGGTTTGCTATGTTGGCCTTTTGCATCTTAGAATTTGTGCATAAATTACTTCTTTAATATCTAATGAGAAATAAGGAAAGGAAAGTGAAAAGCAACCTCATGCCTGTGGTTTCCATCACAAATTAATTTCTTGTTCCAGGCAACTCACCGTCTGTTTATGCATTGGATAGCGATGTTGGCTCTTCGCATCTTAGGCTTGGTATGTGAATTGCTTCTTTAACATTACTTTCAGTTCCTCAATATTTGTCTTCCTAGTCATCATTTTTTGTCTCCCCACCAAAGTAGTTTAGTTAACTTCGACACAAAATCTAGGGATCTTTTGTCTTAAGGATGTGATATTATGATAATTTAGCAGTTGCAGCCGGCACGTGCTCGTAACACCATGAAAGTAGGTGATGAAACAAATAAGATTCCCCAAAGTTCCGCAATGCAAACAAATGGGATTTGCGGTCAAGTAGACCCTATGAATGACACCTCAAAGGCAGAAGAAAGCTATGCCATCTTCGATGAAATACACAGGTAGAATAAAAAGCTAATCTTTTTATTGGAGCTCTTTTCAAACTGAAATTTGCTTCTTTTTAAGGTGTTACTGTTTTGCAGTGTGTCATTTGATGGTTCGTTTGGAGACGTCACAAAGCCCGAGAGGAATCCAATATGGGAACTAGTGAAAGCATTCATTAATGCCTTCATCAGGTTCTGGTCAGAGTGAATCACATCTGAGTGCTGAAAGGTTTAATGAGTTCAGTGCTGAAAGATACAAGGGTTCTTTGGTCTGCGCAGTTTTCAAGTTGAGAGAATTTGTCTTTGTTAGAAGGCAAAGGCGTGCATGCATGAGCACCCCATCTTCTGGACCAAATATGTTGAGTGGTATGTGTGTAATTTGAGTCATTTGGTAGTATCTTTCCACCATTGACAAGTTCCCTTCTGTACTTTCTAAGAGACTCTCCGCTCTAGATGTGGTGAAACAGGCAACTACTTCAATGAGTGCATGCGTCCTCTCACATGTGAATGGTCTTTTATCTTGTTTACCTGTTGTGTAATGTCTTATGGGGCGCATTTGGTTAATGGAAGATGCAGCTTCCAAGGCCATATCGCCTGCTAATTTCGAGAGTGGCGGCTTCCCTAGCGGCAGCAATCAAGCAAGCTGCTACATCCATTTATTTAAGGAAAAAGTGTAGTATGTGTCAAGGTACATATCTACACGTGCGCCTCCCTGATGAAACTAACGTCCATCTCAAAGATGGATGTTAAAAGGTGGTGGTCCTACCATCACCTACAAATTAATGGATGATAAAGCATAAATCATATTATTCTTTATTTTTAAAATCATTTTCATTGTACATTCACATTCATCATGGTATAGATTGTTAACCCATCCAAAATGCGTCACTAAGATGGGCTTTCGGAGAGACTCGTATGAATAGATGAGCTGGCCAGCTCATAGAAACCTTGTCCTTTATTTAATGTGATATGTGAAGATGTGGCTTCCAAAATAGCATGACACTTCCTATTGTCAATGCTATATTATACTCCTGTGGGAATATATTGTCCTTTTACTTTCTCGAGTAAAAGCCCACCTAGAATCAATTTTTGGACCCTTAATGTTTATTGGATGTAACCTCTTTAACCCATGGATAAACCTCAAAAACTCCCGATCTCATCCTCCATGATTATTAGGTGGTTTCCAAAATTTCGAACTTAAAAAAATCCTCCTAACTAGGTCTTTTGACAGAAGGAATATAAGTTAGGGAAAAGTTTATATAGAGCCAAGGCTCTAAACAATTAAATTTGAGCCTATTTCAAAAATTTCACTAGAAGAGGTTGTTTTGATGCCTAAATATCTTCAAATTGATCATCTCGACATCAAGATACATGAACATGAGAAAAAAATAGATTTCAAGTTTTGAAAATTATGTATTTTGTAACGTATTTTTTTACCGTCAAATTTCAAGATTTTGAAGTTTTCATATATCTATCGATTCACACTATTGTTGAAGTTTTAAAGTTTATAAATAATTATGAAAACATATTTTAAGGCTATCACAAATATTTTCAGTATTGAAACCACATTTCTTGATACCATTTGAAGGTAGGTCCTAATTTAATTGCTCTCAATTCTCTAAAAATCTCATGGAAGTGCGTCTTTTTATGGCTTTACACTGGTTTGGACTCGTACTTCTTTTCACCTGAGTGTCTTTTCACCTGTGAGTATCTGTTCGGATGATGATTAATTTTATTTAGAATAATCTATTTTAGCTGAAATTAGTATACTTTACATTATATTATTATGTTAGCTGTTTGGTATAATATTATATATAATATTATTTAATTATCGAAATTTTTAGTTTCAGTTATTTTTAGCTATTTTGGACAAAAAACATATGGTTTTCCAACAAATTAAGTTGGACAAAATAAAAGCACATTTTAAAAAACATAAATTTGCATATAAAATTGCCTACAATTTTATCTCATATGGCTTTGTAATGCACACCGCCAATCAACAGATAATTAAATATGCCAATTAACATTATTGAAAACAGTGAGTTATAAGTTATAATAAGTAAAATTGGGCTTCGGCTTGAGTGGCTAGTAGGTGATGTTTAGCAGCGCTACATCTCAAGTTCGATTCCTACAACTGCACTACCCAAAAGAGAAAAAAAAAAAAAACCTTGAATTATGTTGCTTTACCCTTCCTATCCAATGAGTTTGGATGAATTAGGTTGGAACTTGAAATTCCAAATCGAAGTCATTTTCTTTAGCAGTTTATTAGCTAAGAACTTGAAGTTTCGAACTAGCTTTTTTAAAAATTTAGCAGTTTGGAACTTGAAGTTCCAAATAGTTTATTCACCTAAAAAATGCAAGTACCTTTGGTTTGGAAAAATCAGGGTTTTTGTAATTTTTAGTAAATAATCTGAATTTGTTGGGCGAAATGAACAAAAAGACGGCCGCCTTGCTGCTGAGGTAGCTGTTTTTTCCAAAATGCTTAGTCGTGGACTAAGCGGCTTACTTAAGGTGGTTCCTTCAAGGCGCTTACCTAGGCGTCCAAGGCACCCACCTAGGCAGCAGAAAAGGCAAGATGCTAGACACCTCCTCCCCCAATGGCAGAAAATAAAACTCAGGCAATGTCTAAAATCATCAATTTACCCCCCTAAAAAAAGGGGGAAAAGGGTTTTGGGCGTCATTTTTGCTCCTAAAAAAATTGTTCGTGAAATTTAGATCGAGAAAAAACTAGAAAAAAAACAAGATTTTGAAGATTTATAGGGAGATCGAATTTTTTTTCGACCTCCTCGAAAGGTCAAGAAATTAAAGGAGATTTATCTCCAATCTTTTTGAGGTTTTAGTGGTCGTAAAATAGCAGATTTGGAATCCAAAACATTTGGATTTGGCCGATATTGATTCCACTTCATGAAGCTTGGTATATTTTAATTTTTTTTTAGGTTATGTATTTGTTTCTTTTTCACAATGCCTTATGATGATATTCTATGCTATTTGTACTTTTTTTTTTGATACTTAATGATATATATTTGGTATGTTATTTGACTATTTGCATAATTATTTTCCCATTTTGATATGTAGTTTGGGTCTATGGGAAAACAATTCAATAAAAAAAGTCCCTTGCCCCCAAATCGAATGAATATTGTATTTGTACCTCTTTTTTTTTTTAGGTTTAAGAAATGAGTTTAGTTTTATAATTCATAAATAATTAGTCCTCAGATTTTTTTTTTTTCGTTAGTCTAACAATTGTTTATTAAATAATTGTATATTTAATATGGTTTTTCGATTTTGTATTATATCATAGCAACTTTGATGTGTATGTGTAACCTAGATTTATTTTTTGTCTTAATAAAAACTCAATATATTAAAGGGTCAATATGAAAATTATTTTTTACTTCATTTCCTATTTGTAATTTATTTTTTTTTTGATTGCTTGTTTTTGTGTATGTATTTATAATTTTCACTTCTTGTAAATGTTTTCAAGTATGATTTTTGAGTTTTTAACCATTTAATTTACAGTCTAAAGTCATAAATATTTATGTTTGATTTGTCCTTCTGACTTTTGAACAAAATATTATATACAAAACTTATTAAATAAAAAAAAATCATTTCTATATGCAATGAAATTGTGGGCGGGAGGGGGAGGGGGGTGGGCGGGAGGGGGGGGGTGGCCTTTGTGTTTAGGGTGCCTGCTTAGGTGGCTCAGAGCTCAAATTGTTGGCTATGTAGGCTTTCAAGGGTTAAAAGCTAAGAGTCTTTCACACAGTGGGATTTAGAGAGAGACTGAATCTAGGCGCTTGGTGCACTGGAGCCCAGATTCATATGCCTCAAGTATTTGAGACATTGAGAGTACACATTTGGAGAGAGTAATATATCGGGGAGGTATAAGGGTTGCCTCCAAATCAAGACTGTACTTATTATAATGCCTCATAGTTAATGTGATTAGCCAGAGTTTGGATAATTCAATTGAGTAAAATAGAACCGGAGTATTTAAAATAGTATTGGCCCTATATAGAATGATCATGGCTTATGGGACATGAGGCCGTATTCTGATACGAGACCGTTTCATAACATATGCATTTACAGTTGCATGGGAAGCTACTCTTCTAATGAATTATTTGAATTAGAATAGATAGTATACCTATGCTTTGAAAGGATCCTTGTACTTGAGTTGGAATATATCCTACACAGATGCACCTGTAATCCATTGAGAGTCGGATGATGGGAAGCTCTGGCTCAATGATTTTGATGTGACCAATTATGTGTCATTGCCATAAACTGTAGAACATAGGTTCGTTGGGTGAGCTTGATATATCATTGGAACATCATTCGAGACTTGCCTAAAGGAGTGCTCCGATTCCTAGAGTCGATGCTACGAGATCTCGCATACCCTTTGTCCAAATTAATTATAGTAGGAAATGATGCATAAATGATAAAAATGGGTTAAATATTTATTATAATTTTTAGAGAATTTTTTGAAATTCTTTGATGGCCAAAAATGTGTTTCTAAATTTTGTTTGGCCACAATTCCATTTGAGGACATCCCTGTAGGTGCCATGTAGCACCCGAGTGGCCATAGGTGGCCATGTGGCAGATCATGCCCCACACACTGATCACCACCCAGCTGGATGCTGATCTCTAGGAATAGGGATCTCTATGACATTTGTTGTCTTGTTTTGTTATTTAATACCTTATGTTATATTGTTATTTAATCTTGTTATTCATGTGACATGCTTGGCATGTGCGAGGCCAAGTGAATTTCAATTTGGAATTTGAATTGAATTTGAGTTTGAAAGTTCATTTCTATATTTTGAATTATCTCACATGTGTGAAGGGCACATAAACTTTCATTTGATTAATTTGAGAAAATTGATCTATGTTTTGATTGGTTTGCTTAAAGAGATATTTTCCCACATGTGTGGGTTGTCCCAATTACTTATTTACCCCTTGCCCTTATCAATTTCTAGTCGTATGTTTTAAATACTAAAGACTATTTTGTAAGTACAACTTTGGATGAGTTTGGAAATAAAATATGGGGTTAATGACAATAAGGGAATGTGGCTTGATTTTAGGGTTAATGTGAGTGATAAGGTGTTAAATCCCATCCCTTGATCCTAGTTCTTGAGTTTAGGGACAATAAGGGAATGTGGATGGGGATGAGTGAATAGTTATTCTTGATTTTTTTCCTATTCGATTTTTCTATTGTATTTCTTAGACTTGATCTTGAAATTCAGGGATGTTTCATATCCATTTGGAGTTATAACTTTTGCGTGAAAAGTTGTGTTAGTGGACCGGTGGACTATCCTATCTAGTTTAGCGATATCTCCTACATTTTTGATCCGATCTCTCGTTCTTTTTGCAAATTGTTGTGCATCAATTTTGTAATTGAATATGGACCTAATGAAGTGTTTCTAATGGTATATGAGCTTTCCTTTTAGATAAGATCCCTTTGAGATAATTGAACTAGTTTTGTACTAGTCTTTGAGACAAAAGTAAGTCCTTAAAAGGCTCGATCATGCCCGGGCACATAAAG